CTGCCTGCTGCCCCCTATCCTATCTCTTCCTCTATGCCATGCCGCTAGTCCGTTGAATTGCAAGAAAGCAATTGCTAAAAGTGACAAACAGCCATAAACAAATAACAGCAAAATATGAGAGAAAATTAGGGCACAGACATATCCTTAAATTTGTATCATCTGCTTTCACGATACGTCCCTCGACGTAGCTTTTTTTTTTTTTATATTCTCGAGGTGGCACACCTGATTGCATCACGGGGCGTTTGGCAGCACTGCGAGTGGCGTGGCGTGGCACGGCGCGGCGGCGCACCTCCGCTGAATGATAATAACTAATACACCGCACCCGGTGGTGTCGGCCCGGCGACTGGCTTGCGCGAGCGCGCGCGCGTCGCCAGCCCAGCCCAGCGTCCCTGACCCGACCGCTTGGTGGTCCCATCAGACTCATCTACATACCGGATGCTGCTGTCGGTCGAGACGGCGAGAGGTTAATCCAAAATACGGTGGTGGAGAGCGATAGGGAATGCCCACGGGGTGCAGAGCGCGGTGAGCTCCTTGTTGTTGTTGTAGACAGACACTTGACACTGCACACACGCACACGCACGCACACACACACGACGGCAAACTCGGCTGTGAGGGCGCACTGACTGTGCCGAATGACAGCGCGCGAGAGTCGAGTCGAGCGGAGCTGTAGCTGGGTCGGAGCGGCACGCACGGAGCTCCTATCGCAGCCACGTCTGAGCGCGAACTGAAACCAACTGACTTGAGTTGACTCTGGAGGGAAGGGAAGAGAGAGGGAGAGAGGGAAGGCGGCGCGCCGCGCGCCGGGCCGGCCGGCTGGGTGGCCGAGCCGAGCCCGGGCCACGCCGAGTCGGCACGCCGAGCTACGCTGCGCCCCGCTACGCCCCGCCACGGCCCGGGCCGCAGCAGCCCGCTATGCGAAACCAACGACACGACGAGAGAACGCCCTCTGCCCTGCCTCCGTCGGGATGAAAAAGATGATGCTGCTTGTGGAGGAGAATGAAAGAGACGAACAGGAAACGGTTAATAGAAGTAGTGTTGATAAGTTCCAACTGGAAAGGGCTGTGGGGAACTCACTGTGGGGAACTCGGCCAACGCATTCTGCTGCACACACTAAATTATCATGAACAATTTTATGCACACGTAGGTCGACCTAACTTGCGTACAAAATTTTAACGCACCGAGGCACAATTTTTACATAACAGTGTCAGAACTCGTACAAAATACGATTTCTCTGCGCGACGTTTATGTACACTATTTGCAGAAGCGTCGGTTTGAAGGGGCGAAAGGGGCACACGTCCTTCAGGGCCCCTTTCTGAGAGGCGGTCGCTCCACCAGAACTCTCACTAAAAGCGGCCGAGATAGAAGGTTTCCGGTATCATTTGATAGCTTGTTCTACTTCAAAACGCCCAAATAATCTTGATTTTTTGTGTTAGTTTTTTGATCCTTATTGAGACGACCTCTTTAGACGTCCACCCAAAATGAACGTTTTTCGGACTGCGTCACGGGCGCTACTCAACCTCTACCGTGAGCCTCGATCCACCTCCTCCTACACGCAGGCGCGCAGGGTGGGCCGCCGTCTCTACACAGCTGTTGGGCGGGTCGGCCTACCCAGCGTGTCGCAGGCGCCATCACCAGGGCTAGGGCAACAACATTCGCTGTGGTGGACGTAACGTTCCCCTATACTTTGACAAATTGTTGTTCCCCTTCCACTTTAAAACGCCACGATGACCTTGGTACCGTACCACCCCGCAGGTTCTTTACTAGCGAGATGATGCATTGAAACCTAAAACTAGCCAAAAATGTTAGTCCACGCACGCTATACTACTACATTATTTCCCTCCGTGGTGGCCGCGGCCCCGCGGCGTACTCTGGTCGGCCGCGTGCCGTGCCGCCGCCCCGGGCCTCACGAACGGCCGCCGCTCGCGGTCCTGGTCCTCCGCACGAACGCCGGCACGAGCGACATTGTGATGCAATCGTTATACTTTTGTCCTGCTCGGATGAGGAGGCTCGCGCGAGCGCCGCGGTTTGCCCGATTTTAAAGAGGGCCACGATGCTGTTGTTGTTACGTCCGCGAGTGACGGGCCGCCGCCGCCGCCGACCACTCTACTTCCGGAGAGCGGGCGGCTCGGCCCGGGTCCGTGGCTGCACCCCCGACTGCACCCTGCCGTGAGCCTCGCCGGCCGTGGGACTCCGTGTCGTCGTCGTTGGCTCATCTTGACGATGTACGCCGCATCGTCGGAATTCCCTATTCAATTAAGGGCGTTTGGAGATAGGTGAAATAAAGAAAAGACGTCAAGGCAAAAGGTTTAGATTCAGATACAACACATTTATTCTTCCAAGATAAGTACAGGGATTCTTGTCAAAAAAAAGCATAGGTACAAAGTAAAACATAAGTTTAGGAATGGCACACATCACTTTCCTATATTCTGTTTGTCATAGGCCATTCACTCTCAGTTAGGTTAAAGTTCAGTTACGTACAAAAACAAATTGAAATAAAAAAAACACAAGATAAATGTATTTAATAAGTAAGACCAGTGTACATATTTTTTTACTGCGAGCAGCGTACTCCCCTCGAGCCCTTATTGTGATGACTTATGTCTGATTCAAGCAAAGACACTCCAAGGGTTCACAAAGAAGTATGCAAAAAAACAAAACTTGGGGTCATATAGTCTTTGGCGCTTTGGCTATTAATTTAATGAAAAGTAAAAAAAGAAACCTGCACCCTGCACCTATCCTTGCATAACCACAAAACCACCGCGAGCGGTTCCACGTTAACTCTTCGCGCCTCAAAATTTTTGTGAAAATATAGCAAAGTACCAACACGATTAAGAGTATGTCCGGCTCCGGCGCGTCGGGGTGGGGCGGGGTGAGGCGGGGCGGGCAGGCCGTGGTGCGCACGGCTTGGCAGGGCCGGGCGCGGGTCTTAGTTATGCAAGCAAGGGGTTCTATCGGACCTCGTGAGGGACCGAAGCATCACATACCCCCGTATTTGAAGACATGCGCCTGTTGGTAGCGCCCTGTCTGTGACCCGGGCGCCGGCCCGTTTTTGCCTGCTCGCGGCGGTGGCGGGGGGGTCACGGGCGGGGCGGGCCCGGGGCACCCGACTCTTTCATAGCTTCAGGGACTCTAATTGAACGGGGACGCCCCCTCCGTCCAATAGTACCACAACGCCCTGATCTTTTAACGTCGGGCGCGGTCCCGGGTCCGCGACAGCCCAGGGAGCGGGAGAGGAGAGAAAAAGAGATTTGTGCGGCCAGTGACTGAGACGAGATTGCTTTGACAGTGATTGGTTTCTTCAAAGAGACTCTAATTGAACATGAAATTCAATAGCATCACGTGTCCCCAAAAGTACCACTGACGGCACCCGCCAAAGACACTGACCGCCAGAAGAGAGAGGGAGAAAGGGGAGGGGGGTGGGTGAAACATACCTTACACCGGATGGCGCCACACCCCCTGCTCTTAAGGAACTGTAAGTCTGAGAGTTTAACTGCGGAACCGATGGAATTCAAACGGACGAAAAG